CCCTCAATCCCCCCAAATCTCCCCCAAACCCCCCAAATTTTCCCCCAAACCCCCTTTCTGTGTCCTTTTTCGGGTTTATTCCACCAGGACCATCCATAACTCTATTTTTGTTGCCTCCCATTGTGCCAAACCCCAACTGTCCCAATCTTTGTTCCTCCAGCTTTGTGACTCTTTTTTGAACCATTTTATTTCTATTTCAACTTTTCAGGTTTTACAAATGAGGGATCGGCGTTTTTCACAGGGCTGTCCCCTCAGGGTGGCACTGAGAGGGTGGCACTGCCCTCAGGGCTGTCCCCTCAGGTGGTGGCACTGCCCTCAGGGCTGTCCCCTCAGGTGGTGGCATTGCTCTCAGGGCTGTCCCCTAGAGGGTGGCAGGGCTGTCCCCTAGAGGGTGGCACTGAGAGGGTCGCACTGCCCTCAGGGCTGTCCCCTAGAGGGTGGCAGGGCTGTCCCCTCAGGTGGTGGCTTGGCCCTTGGGGTTGTCCCCTGTCTGGGGGCTGTCCCCTCAGAGGGTGACCGCCCTGTCGAGCCTGTCCACTCTCTCTTGGGGCTCAGGGTTGTCCCCTCAGAGGGGCTGTCCCCTGAGGCATGGCCACCCCCTGAGGGCTGTCCCCTCTCTGGGGCTGTCCCCTCAAAAGGTGGCCTCTCCCTGTTGGGGCTGTCCCCTCAGGCAGTGGCATCGCCCTCAGGGCTGTCCCCTCTCTCGGGGGGCTGTCCCCTCAGAGGGTGGCCTTGCCCTCAGGGTTGTCCCCTCAGAGGGGATGTCCCCTCAAAAGGTGACCTCCTTGTTGGGGCTGTCCCCCGAGCAGGTGGCCTCCCCCAGGGGCTGTCCCCTCTCTGGGGGCTGTCCCCTAAGGCAGTGGCATCACACTGGGGGCTGTCCCCTCAGAGGGTGGCCTTGCCCTCAGGGCTGTCCCCTCAGAAGGGCTGTCCCCTCAAAAGGTGACCTCCCTGTTGGGGCTGTCCCCTCAGAGGGTGGCCTTGCTGTCAGGGCTGTCCCCTCAGAGGGGCTGTCCCCTCAAAAGGTGACCTCCCTGTTGGGGCTGTCCCCCGAGCTGGTGGCCTCCCCCGGGGGCTGTCCCCTCTCTGGGGGCTGTTCCCTAAGGCAGTGGCATCACACTGGGGGCTGTCCCCTCAGAGGGTGGCCTTGCCCTCAGGGCTGTCCCCTCAGAAGGGCTGTCCCCTCAAAAGGTGACCACCCGAGGGGCTGTCCCCTCAGAGGGTGGCCTTGCTGTCAGGGCTGTCCCCTCAGGCAATGGCCTCCCTGTTGGGGCTGTCCCCTCAAAGGGTGGCCTTGCCCTCAGAGCTGTCCCTTCTCGGGGTCTGTCCCCTGAGCTGGTGGCCTCCCCCAGGGGCTGTCTCCTCTCTGGGGACTGTCCCCGCTCAGGGGGCTGTCCCCTCAGGGGGTGGCCTTCCCCGGGGGCTGTCCCCTCTCTCTGGGGTCTGTCCCCTGAGCTGGTGGCCTCTCCCGGGGGCTGTCCCCTCAGGCAATGGCCTCCCTGTTGGGGCTGTCCCCTCAAAGGGTGGCCTTGCCCTCAGAGCTGTCCCTTCTCGGGGTCTGTCCCCTGAGCTGGTGGCCTTGGCCTTGCTGTCAGGGCTGTCCCCTCTCGGGGGGCTGTCCCCTCAAAAGGTGACCTTCCCCGGGGGCTGTCCCCTCTCTCTGGGGTCTGTCCCCTGAGCTGGTGGCCTCCCCCGGGGGCTGTCCCCTGAACTGGTGGCCTCCCCCGGGGGCTGTCCCCTGAGCTGGTGGCCTCCCCCGGGGGCTGTCCCCTCTCTCTGGGGGCTGAACCCAGAGCTGGTGGCCTCCCCCGGGGGCTGTCCCCTCTGTCGGGGGGCTGTCCCCTCTCTCAGGGGGCTGTCCCCTCCCCCGGGGGCTGTCCCCTCAGGCGGTGGCGTCCCCCTCGGGGCTGTCCCCGCCGTCCAGCAGCGCGTAGTGCGCGTGGCTCTGGCAGGGCCGCTGCAGGGGATGCGCCAGCAGCTTGGCCATGCAGTTGTGCAGCTCCAGCGCCGGCCCCGCCAGGGCCACCTCGTACTTGTAGTTGGTGCCTTTGGTGTCCAGGCTGCCGAAAAACCCGAACATGTCCTGGGGAGGGACACAACGGGGACACAACGGGCTCGAAGCTGCTTGTCCTGAGCTTAAATCCTGAGAAATTTCTTCTTTTTGTCCTCCCAGTTTGGTTAAAAATTTCCCGCGGAATTCTGTCTTTTTTGTCATTCTGTTCTTGGTGATCCTCCACAAACCCACCCCGTTCCCACCCCTTTCCCCTAAATCCTTAAATTCCCACTCCATTTCCCCTAAATTCCCCCATTTCCCCCTAAATCCCCCCCCTTCCCACCCCTTTCCCCCTAAATCCTTAAATTCCCACCCCATTTCCCCCAAACCACCCCATTCCCACCCCATTTCCTCCTAAATCCTTAAATTCCCACTCCATTTCCCCTAAATTCCCCCATTTTCCCCTAAATCCCCCCACTCCCTCCCGATTTCCCCCTAAATCCTCCCATTTTTCCCCAATTCCCCCATTTCCCCTAAATTCCATTTCCACCCCATTTCCCCCCAAATTCCCCCACTCCCTCCCCATTTCCCCTAAATCCCCCCATTTCCCCCTAAATCCCCCTATTTCCACCCCATTTTCCCCTAAATCCTTAAATTCCCACCCCATTTCCCCTAAATCCTCCCATTTCCCCCCAAATCCCCCATTCCCACTCTATTTCCCCTAAATCCCCCCATTCCCACCCCATTTTCCTTTTTCCCCCCAAATCCAATCTTTCCCACCTTTTTCCACCCCAAATCCCCCCTTTTTTCCCCAATTTCTCCCCATTTCACCTTTCCCCCCCCCAAAACCACTCCCACATCCACTCCAAAGCCCCCCAGTCCCACAAAAGGGGGGAAAATCTGGGGGGGAAAAGGAAAATAAAAAAGGAAAAATAGGGACAAATGAGGGGGGAAAATGGGGGAAATTTTGGGGAAAAAAATAAAATAAAGAAATAAAGAAAGAAAATAAAAAAGGAAAAACGGGGACAAGTGAGGGGGAAAAACGGGGGAATTTAGGGGAGGAAATTTGGGGGAAAAAGAAAAGAAAAAAAGAAAAACAGGGACAAATGAGGGAAAAAATGGGGGAATTTTGGGAGGGGAAAAAGGGAGGATTTGGGGGGAATTTGGGGAATTTAGGGGAATTTGTCCCCTTTACCTTCCAGCTGCTCTCGTCCTCCTTCTCGTCCAGCCCGTTGTGGATGTAAACGACATCAAAGAAGAAATAGGGGCACTGCAGCAGCTTCTGGGGGAAAAGGGGAATTTGGGGATTTGAGGGAGATTTGGGGGTATGTGAAGGGACTTTGGGGGGATTTTGGGGTGGCACAGGGGGATTTGGGGTGGCACAGGGGGGCACAGGGGATTTCAGGGTGGCACAGGGTGGCACAGGGGGTGTGGGTGGCACAGGGTGGCACAGGGGATTTCAGGGTGGCACAGGGTGGCACAGGGGGTGTGGGTGGCACAGGGGGTGTGGGTGGCACAGGGTGGCACAGGGATTTCGGGGTGGCACACACCTTGACGTGCTCGCCCCCGCAGAAGTGCGGCTGGCAGCGCGGGAAGGGGGGGATTTAGGGGGGGCACAGGGGGATTTTGGGGTGGCACAGGGTGGCACAGGGGGTGTGGGTGGCACAGGGTGGCACTGGGGGGATTTAGGGGTGGCACAGGGTGGCACAGGGGGATTTAGGGGTGGCACAGGGGGTGCGGGTGGCACAGGGTGGCACAGGGCATTTCAGGGTGGCACACACCTTGACGTGCTCGCCCCCGCAGAAGTGCGGCTGGCACCGCGGGAAGGGGGGGATTTAGGGGTGGCACAGGGGGTGCGGGTGGCACAGGGTGGCACAGGGCATTTCAGGGTGGCACACACCTTGACGTGCTCGCCCCCGCAGAAGTGCGGCTGGCACCGCGGGCGCCCGAACACCAGGATGGTTCTGACCACGAAGGGCGGCGGGATGGTCTGGACGTTGTCGGTCACCGGCAGCTCCACCTTCTGCTGGCTGCAGGGGACAGGGACACCGGGACACCGTGGGGACACAGACACGGGGACAGGGACACAGAGACAGGGACACGGGGACAGGGACACAGGGACAGCATGGGGACAAGGGGACACGGACACGGGGACAGTGACACGGGGACAGCATGGGGACACGGGGACAGCGTGGGGACAGGGACACGGGGACACGGACACGGGGACAGGGACATGGGGACAGCGTGGGGACAGGGACATGGGGACAGGGACATGGGGACAGCGACACGGGGACAGCGTGGAGACAAGGATGGGGACACAGGGGACAGGGATGGGGACAGGGACAAGTTGGCATCCATAGGGACAGGGATGGGACACGGAGAGTGGCATCCACAGGGCCAGGGGGGCACCCATGGGGACAGGACAGGGAGAGAGTGGCACCCACAGGGACAAGGGCAGGGTGGCACCCACGGGAACAGGGACAGGGATGGGGACAGGGATGGGGCAGGGAAAAGGTGACACCCATGGGGACAGAGGGCACCCACAGGGACAGGGATGGGGACAGGGTGGCACCCATACAGGGACAAGACATGGTGGCACCCACGGGGTCAGGGTGGCACCCACAGGGATGGGGACAGGACGGGGACAGGGATGGGACACGGAGAGTGGCATCCACAGGGCCAGGGGGGCAGCCATGGGGACAGGACAGGGAGAGAGTGGCACCCACAGGGACAAGGGCAGGGTGGCACCCACCGGAACAGGGACAGGGATGGGGCAGGGAAAAGGTGACACCCATGGGGACAGAGGGCACCCACAGGGACAGGGATGGGGACAGGGTGGCACCCATACAGGGACAAGACATGGTGGCACCCACGGGGTCAGGGTGGCACCCACAGGGATGGGGACAGGACAGGGTGGCACACCTGGGGTCAGGGGACAGGGGACAGGTGGCACCCCTGGGTCAGGGTGGCAGCCACGGGGACAGAGGACAGGGCTCAGGTGCCACCCTCCCCTGGCACCCTCCAAGCCCCCCTGCCCCCCCCCCCGGAACGTTCCGGAACCCCCCGGTGCTCACATGAGGTTGAAGAGCCCGTCCAGATCTGAGCTCGGGGTCAAGGCTGCTCCTGGCACCTGTGCCACCCCCAGGGCCACCCCGACACCCATGACACCCTCAGGGCCACCCAGATATCTGTGCCACACCTAGAGCCACCCCTAGAGCCACCCCCAGGGCTCTAGACACTAGGGCCACCCCAGGGCCACCTCCAGGGCCACCCTGGCACCCAAGACACCCCGATGCCACCCAAGGGACCCCAGTGGCATCCCGGTGGCCCCGGTGGCCAAGAAGGCACAGCCCGACGGCAGCCCTGGCACGCGGTGGCACGGCAGGATACTGAAGGACTGGCACACGACGGTGTCCAGGTCATAGAGGCAGCTGCAGACCTCGCGGGGATCCGACGTGAACCCTGAGAGCTGCGGGGGCACCGGGCTGGCACCGGGCTGGCACCGCGCTGGCACCGCGCTGGCACCAGCCCTGTCCCTTGTCCCCATCCCTGTGTCCCTTCTTGTCCCTTGTGCCAATCCCTTTGCCCTGTCCCCTCTGCCAATCCCGCAGGCCCATCCTGTTCCTGTCCCCAACCCGTGCCCATCCCTGTCCCCACCCGTGTCCCTGTCCTCGTCCCTGTCCCCATCCCCGTCCCCAACCTGTGCCCATCCCTGTCCCTGTCCCCATCTGTGTCCCTACCCCAAACAGAACCAACCCCAGAAATACAAACCCCAAACACCACCAACCCCAAACACCACAAACCCTAAAACACAAACCCCAAACACCACACAAACCCCTGCCTGGCACCCCAAAACACACAACCCCCAAAAACCACACCTGGCACCAACAGGCACCGGGTCAGGGACCCCAAAACCAGGGGAGACAGGGATGGGCACAGAGACGGGGACAGGGAGTGACACGGGGACAGGGACAGGGACAAATCAGTGCTGGGGCTCAGAGCCCCAAAGCCAGCCCCCCGGCACTGTCCCTTATCCCTGTGCCCTGTCCCCATCCCCTGTCCCCGTGCCCTGTCCCCTGTCCCCATCCCCTGTCCCCGTGCCCTGTCCCCTGTCCCCATCCCCTGTCCCTGTGCCCTGGCACTGTGCCCATGCCCTGTCCCCATCCCCTGTCCCTGTCCCCGTGCCCTGTCCCTGTCCCCGTGCCCTGGCACTGACCCGTTGAAGGACTCCAGTTTGGGCACTGCCATCTCCTCAGCCAGGTCCAGGCAGATGATCTGGGGGGGATGGGGGAGCACGGCTGAGACCCCCGAGTGTCCCCAGGGACCCCAAAGTGTCCCCAGGGCCCCTCAAAGTGTCCCCAGGGCCCCTCCTGCACCCCTGGAGAATCCCCCAGTACAGCCCTTCATAATTCCCCACTATCCCCCTAAGAACTCCCAGTATCCCCCAGTATCCTCCTTGATAACCCCCCAGTATCCCCCCACCATCCTCCCTGCCAGCCCCCCAGTGCTCCCAGTGCCCACCAATCCCTTCCCAGTGCCCCCAGTCCAGTCCATCCCAATCCCCTTCCAGTCCCTTCCAATCCCCTCCCAGTCCCCCCATTCCCCACCCAGTCCCTCCCAATCCCCTCCCAGTCTCTCCCAGTCACCTCCATCCCCTCCCAGTCCCCCCAGTGCT